AATACCCACAATAGCACCACCAATAGGTGGATACAACCCATGTTAACCTCGAATATAGACTTTCACAGGAGGATTACATATTTATTTAGCAAATACACAAATGCTAAGAAACTAGATGATGTAGACAACTTATTATTGTAGGTGAGTAGTTCATATATATTATCTCAGTTAATCCCCATTAACCACTCTGTGAGATGGATGCTACTACTATCCTATTTTACAGAAGAGGATGGTTAATTTGTCCCTGGTCATACAGCTGACCAGTGGCAGACACGTATATTCAACTCCAAGCAGGCTGGGTTGGCTATGCCGCTGAATGCTCAGATGATGTTCATCTCAAGTTCAGTTACTTTCTAAAGGAGGAAGCACAGACCAACCTGTGAGAGGAGGAGATGGGAGGACAGTCTCGTTCTTCACCTAACTGGCAACTGGTTCAGCTTTGTATACCTGTCTGGAATTCAAATCTCAAATCATACACACCAGCCATGAAAGCTTAGGCAATTATAAACTGCATCTTACTTTGTTCACCTAAAAGTGGGAGTAATAAGGGCCTATGATGTATTGTACAGCCTGTCTCTTTCTATTTAGTATACTGTGGTGCACCTTTGAGAAAATAATGCAAATATTTATTAACTCATCTTAGAAGCCAAATTCTATATTTTTGATACTAAGTGTCCTGATTTTTCTTTGGGAATTTTGACCTTTATTAGTCAGATGGTTTATAAATCCATCCTATGAAATGAAGTACTATAGATTTATTACCTGGATTTTGGAGATGAGGACACTAACAAGTAGAGACGCACAACAAGAAACCTGTTGATATTCATGGTCAAGAATCAAGTCATAGCTAATGCAAGCCATTCTTGGTCAATGAGACTCTACCTTTTAACTGGGCCCTTGCAGGGAAATCTGTTTCAATGGCAAAGCTGAGGCTCCTAACATCTTAGGAAAGTTCTAGATGACCTGCTAATCCAGTACTATCACATGACTAATTGAATTCGGTCAGATTCCTGTGTTTCTATTCAAGAGGTACAGTCCTGCCCTGGGGCCTGTGTATTCTCCCGGAATGTCCTCATGGCTAACTCTTACTCCTCCTTGGAAGTTTTGTCTCCCATATCAACCTCTCAGCCAGCCCCACCCTGATTAACCCATTTAAAATTCCAATACTTTCTCCTCCCAAAACACCAGACCTTGCTTTAGCTTTCCTCTTTTCTCTATTACTAACCACCTCCCAACACCCTGTATATCACATACTTCAATTGTTCATTGTCTAGCCCCCTCCCCTAGAATGAACAGCTCCCTAAAGAGTGACATCTTCATTCTGTTAACCAAAAGATATTAAGTGCTCAGAACTTTGCCTGGCATAAAGCAGGGATTCAATATATATATTATTACATAAATAAATTCAAAATACAGAGGAACTTATAAAAATTCGCCAAATAATCAAATAAGCTAAGAATGATTCAACTGTTGTGTTTCTGAGACGAAAAGCCAAACAACTTCATAGCACTGGGATGCAGGGTTGCAGCAGGCATTTCATGAGCCTGGGGCATGACCTTCAGTGCTAAATTTAGTGCTCCTGGTGTTTCTAAGATTCTTAGTCACCAGTTTGACTTAATCTATCTAGGATGTTCATACCAAGAGTGTTTCCACAAATTCAATGTCCCTCTTGAAATAAGAAGCAAACAAACCCGGACCTGCTTTTCCCATCTCAATGCGAAAGAGCCAGACCTACGTATGAACTGATAGCAAAATTGATGGAGAAGCACTTCACAGTTACAGGGCTATGGGATTTCTAGGCAATTTAAATGGGGGTGAGGAGAGTTTTAGCTAGGGTATTCAGTGTGTACACTGAGACAGGTATTCCAGTACCGAACCAGCAGTGAAATGCAATAAAGAAGACAGGAACACTGGTACAGCATTCTTCCAGGAGGGAAGAGTTGAAAAAGCGGATGGTGAAAATCACACTTCACTTGGTTTCAAAGCCCCAAATCTTTGTTCCTTCCAGGGAGAGGAAAATAGTTAAAAACAAAAGTTAAGCGTACATGTATGAGATGACAGAGAGTTATTGTCAACTTAATGCACTTAATTAATCCAAACTAAACATAATACTTTAATAATGAAGAATATAGGCCTTGAAAAATCTGCCAAGCAAGAAACACATCATATTCCCATAAATGTTCATTTTATCACTGTTTAAGGGGTTTTACTAGTGGCCAAATGGTAATAACCCAGATAGGCCCCCAAAATGGAACACTGGCCTAAGCGTCTCTCTCTAACACTCATGGTTCCTAAATAAGATTGTTGAACAAATTAAAAGCAAAATAACACATCTCTTATTTTTTTCGTGAATCTTTTTAATGTAACACTCACCAACAAACATGAAATCAGTAAATCAATCATTAGAAATAACTGTCTCCACATACTTATAAATTGAATCACAAATGAAAAATACCACATAACAATATCTGTATAGAACTTTCACTAAATGCTTTATATTTTCACCTATGTCTCTTCATCAAAAGTGTATTTATATGACACTATCTACTAACCAGGATATTTTTATTCTTCTTAAGATCAATTCTTACTTCTTTCTGCATATAGGGCTGCCTTTAATAGCAAAGGGTCTCTCCCCAGCAGAGGTATACAAGCCTCTTCATCCTGGGAATTGCAAGTGTTTGTTCATTTTAACATTTACTTTTCATAGAGTTTGCTGGTTCAAACTATTTTCAACTGTGCTAGCCCTGCCACACAGTTTGCCTAGGTCACTGCTATTACTGTAAACTTAATTTTTGCATATTTTCACTATTAAAAGGACAACATTAGCTTTCTGGGAATGAAGTACCATTACTTCAAAGCTGAGTTTTAGAAAATGTATCAAGCTCTTAGCCCTCTTAAAAAATGTATGCAAAATATTAAGACAATTTCTACACTTAAAACCTCATGATTCACCAAGTTTTAAACCATCTCATATAAACTAAATCCTCAAGAAGGGTAACTGTCTTTAACACATTTTAATAAATATAATTTATACTGTCTTCCCTAAGTCAAGAGATATGTTATTTATATTACTTACATCATTCATATTAATGTATAGCATTATTTATATTTCTTATTTTCTGCTTATCATTGGGAGTAAGGGGAAGAACTTGAACTAATAACATTTCTACCAGAACTTTACAATATCGGTGTTTTCACTTTATTTTAAACTAGCCATCATGAAAAATCTGATTTAATACTTTGAAGCACTTTCAGTTATGACTATTCAATCATGTTATTATGAATCAGCAAATTTGTTGCTCCATTAAACTGCTTTTAAGACTACCAAAACTTGCCTAGCTCTGTCACACCTTTATCAGAGGAAATGGAAGAAGCTATTACAAGGACGCCTGAAACTTGAAAAGTTTCAAAATCTGGACAATTACTCATCAGAATTTTCTTCTGAAAGACATTTTGTAGACGTTTCCCATGATTATCTCCTATTCCGAATGGCCCATCAAATCACTTTCTAAACAGGTATTCAACACTTACTAAGCACCCACTGTGTGCAGAGACCGCACTATACTAAGCAAAGGAGTATACGGTTCTGCCTCATTGTATTTGTGCATAAATACACAGCAGTCGTGATTTATTCTCTCAACTTTGTAGAAACGTGAGCTGCAAACACATGGCTGAATCCATGGCATTCATTTGGACTTCCTGGGGCAATTTACAGGTTCTCTGCATTAGACAACCCGTTGGGAGATCGCTCGCCCCTTCACCTTCTAGCCCACGCAGGACAACTCGCGGGCGTCGGCCACACCTTCCGCAGGTGGCTGGATCGCCTGAGCCAGTTGCACCCGGCCCACCTCCCTTAGCAGGGGTTCCAGATAGAAGTGTGTAAATGTGTGCAAGGACTTCTGCAAATCAGAGGACTTGTTGAAAGGCCCAGGGGTCCAGGCTTGAAGGGAAAGCAGCCGATCCGCAGGGCACCCCCTCCCCGGCGTCCCCCGCGCCCCGGGCGCTGCGCAGGCCGCCGCTGATCCCAGGGCGCAGCCGGCGCACCTCGGGCCTAGCACTATTAGAAAAGCAAATCGCAGAGCCAGGGTGCATTTAAATGCCCGGCTGTCGGCCCTGGGGGTGGCTCTCCAGCGGACACCACCGCAGGGGCCTCCAGGGCGCGCGGACCCCGGGGCGCTGGGCGCGGCCCGCGGGCGCACCCAGGACCTCAGCCCGCAGCGCCTGGGCGTCCGCACCAGGCCGGGGCACGGGCGGGCACCCAGAGCCCCCGGTCTCGCGTTCCAGGCCGCTTGGCAGCCACCCGGGAAGAGGGCGAGCGCCCCGGCCCCCGCCCCGCGGCCGCCGGCCTCGGCCCCCTCCCGACGCACCACACCTAGCAACCGGCGCTGACAGGACGCAGTGGCGGCGGCGGCGGGAGGAGGAAGCGGAATGGCTGCCGCGGTGGAGCCACCCCCGCCGCCCCCCCGCTCCACCTCCCCGCGGCAGCAGCCGCTGCCGAGCCCTGACAGCTCGAGCCGGGGCGGAAGCGGCCGGCGGCGTGCAGCGCCCGCCCCCCCCAGCCCCCAGCGCCTCCGGCCGCTCGGACCACCCGGGCCAACTAACTCCGCGCCCCTGCCCAGCGCAGAGCGCCCGCCGCCCGCCGCGCCCTCCGCCCCGCGTCCGGGAGCTCGGCCCCGCCGCCGCACACCCCGCCGCCTCGCCGCGGCGCTCCCCGCTCCCACCACTTCGCAGCCCGCGTGCACGCCCCGGAGTCCCTCAGCCGTCCGCCCGCCCTCCCGCCGCACCTCGGGGCGGCTGCCCCCTCCCCCACTCCAGCCCGCTCCCCGCCCCCCGGCACCTCGCGCCCCCGCATCCCGCCACCCCCCACCTCGGGGCTCGCACGCGCCCTCCCTGCCCCGCCGCCTCCCTCCTCGCCGGCTACCCCTGGCCATTCCGGGGCTCCCCGCCCGGGCAGGAGTTTCCGCGCGCCCGGCACCTCCGCCCACCCCCGGGCCATTTACCGATGTGGTTGTCCTCGATGTGCTCGATGAGGTCGGCCAGGGTGGGGAAGTGGAGTCCGCAGCCCCCGAATCGGCAGGTATTGGAGAAGAAGGAGGCGGCGGCGATGCCTGTCATGGTGCTACATCGAGAGCCCCCCTGGTGTCGGCTCTGTGAGCGCCGGGCGGGCGAGTGAGGGAGGGAGGCCGGGTGGGGTGAGGAGAGGAGGGGCTGGGGGAGGGGGAGAGAGGCGGGGTGAGGGGAGCGGCGAGGACGGGACGGAGGGAGAGGGGGCGCGAGAGATGGAAGGAGAGCGAGGAGCCACCGGGAGGCAGAGGGGAGGAGGCGGTGGCTGCGGCGGCGGCGTCGGGAGCGGCTGGGGGAGGGTGGGGGCGGGTGTTGGGGGGAGGCCGCCGCAGCTGGGAGGAGGGACCAGGGCGCGAGGCTACAGCTGTGCGGCCCCAACCTCCGCGCTAGGACCCAGGCCTCACCTGCGAGCCCTGCCACCAACTTTATCTCTCAAGGCCTGCCCTTTACGGCTTGCCATCCGTGCCATCTGTTTGGATCCTCCTTGGTTATGTATATGACGTTCTTAATATGTACACATCGATTAATTACACCTACCTCCCTGCGAGGAGAACTCGGAGAGTTACCCTGGCCCCTCTTGGGGACCTTTTTTTGTACTCAGCCACCTGTCTAGGTGTGACACATTCACAGGGGACCCAGGAAAGGTAATTGTGTGCACCTTCTTCTTTAAACCTTCTTTTAAAAAAGTCTATATTCTCCGGAGGTTTGTACTAACTAATTGATTTTAATGAAGCTTCCCTCTAGGCCAGAAGAAAATCTTAGCTTTATTTAAATTTCAAAATAGAGTGCCTGGTTGTCAAGTGCATTTGCCTGTGTTTTACATATGTACCACGGTTTTTATACTCCCTGCTCCTTTTGGGAAAACGTAAACTAAAATAATTTCATCACCTCAAATCACAGCACCCCACTGTACCCACTCCACCATCTCAGGTCTGGTAATTAACCCATGTACATTTCAGCACAGCAGAAAGGACTGTGCATTGGTTAAGGGCAGGAGTAGAAACAAGGTCAAGGGACATAGTGACTCTTCATTTAAAAAGGAAGCAATTTCATCCTGTGAGCATTTAAACCACAATGTTGACCAGGTAAGCACATAAGTTGAATTTAGTAGCTTCCCTGAAAACCAGCATTTTGCTGAGAATCAATTACTTTCTTGTCCCCACCCCCTACTCCAGTTGCAGTCATATTTCTGCTGTAAAGTATGTGTTTTCCAGTAACACTTTTCCTGGTTCCTAAGAAACATTACACATTATCTGCAGTTTCTGACCCAGCAGTACACTTTTTATTAATATTAATATATGCATACTGAATTTAGCATTTTTCCATATGGCAAATTTCACTAACCCTCTGATTCAGATACATGGAGAAATAGTATTCCTCCCTCCATAAACTCTGCATCTCTATCTACTGTTGTTTCTAATAATGGGATTGTCTGCTTTTGGTGCAAGTGCTTAGAGTAAAGGCACATGTAGTGTGTCTGTTGTTACAGGAAGTTTTATGATCTGATCATCACTGGTGGCATTTTCTCTTGCTCATCTCTTCTGTCTTACAGCTTACAAGGTGACAAACTTGCTGAGATGAGGTTCGGCTAGGGTGGGACTGGGGCAGCTGTGTCTTGAAGTTGGGTTTGGTGCCAAGAATGGTTTCGTGGGTCCAGTTGAGGGTGGGGGCAGGGCCCTGGTGGGCCTGATAATGAGCCAGGGACCCAGTTGGCAGGAGACTGGGGCCAAGGCCAGACAAGGGTCTAAAGAGCAGGAGTTAGAATTCTAGATCTTGAATTAGAATTTTGGCAGCTGTGGAGTACATTCAGCTGCCCGATCTGGGAAGGCCTTCAACTGAGAGCAGGCAGAATATCTGGCAGACACACACCACGCCGAATGACATGGAAATGCAAAACAAAAACTTCAGCCAAAAATGGTGCCAAAACAGCCACCCTTAGAGATGAGTGTTAGGCACCCCCATTGTGCAGCATCTGGGGAGCCCCAAAAGCTTTGAAGAAGTAGCAACTCTGTCCTCTGGAGGGAAAGTTGTCTATGGGGAATTATTAACTCCCAAAAGAGTGTGGAGTGGTGGTTCAGGCAAGAGAGCTCAGAGATGGAAAGTGCCAGAAATATGTAGGTGAAAGATGAAGGAAGTAATGCATGGCTCTCCACTACCTTCTGTCAGTTTCAGTATTCCTAAAATAAAACCTTGCTGGGCCAAATTGAAAAATTAGATTTTTTTAAAAAAATGAAATGAGCCAAAATAACTTCCAAGATGAATCAAGATTTTGATTTTTAAGACAAAATTATTTTCTCTACCTTGGATAATTATTAATATTTTATAAGGAATCAGTTTGTTTTGCCTGAAAATAATCTGCCCTACTACTTCATATGACTGAAGCGTTATTTATGTGACATTCTGCTCATGCTACTTTTTAAAAATCTGTACACTCTAGGCATTTCTGTTCTTTAAGTAAAATACATGATTATGATATTTTAGATCAGGAAGATACTCTGGCTGTCAGAACCATTGGTTTTGGAGATGTGGTAAACTGAGGCCAGGGACATCAAGCAAGTTCTCCCAGGGGCACACAGTGTTTTTCTCTGTACTCATGGTGCATTTAGAAGGCATTGATAGACAATAGAAGGACAAAGCTATAGTACTGCATACAAACTTTTTAAAAATCGCTTTATAATAGCATGCTTACCTTTCTATATTTACATTTTTAAAATGTTTGTTTCGATATCTCTTTAAAGTCAACATCTAAGCTACAAAAATATATAAAACACACAATTCAACTTACTACATCTGAGAGAGAAGGTGATGACTGATATACCTCTGTACTTGTAAAAAACGTTTACCTGTCTGATTTGCAAAATGAAAATATTTGAAAGAAGGGGGGACAGTGAGGGAACTGAGAAGTCAGAACGATATGACAGTGGCTGTAGACAAGAAGCATTTTCTTAGTTCAAGAGCCTTTTATTGAAAACCGTGTGCCTCTTCCCAGAGCCCAGTGCCTCCCAATGTGAAGGCACAAAGTATGGATGTGCAGTGGCCCCATTGTATGGTACTTAGTATTACAAATGGTTTGAGATCCCATAGCAGTGTCCCCAAATCCAGCATGTCCAGTACCCCTTGAGATGGGATGGCTGCCAGAAGGTGTGAATCCACTGGTCTAACGGAGCCAACTGAAGACACTGAAGGATCCTGCTTCACACAGCTGTCTATCCTCCACATACAGGAACTGGTTTATTTTGGCATACACTGATAATCAAAACCGAGCACTTCCCGTGTCCTATGTGGACATCTGTTCACGATGCAAGAGGATCTATATGAACATTAGATTCTGTCTTGGATCTAACTCTATACTGCCTTCATCTCTAGCTTTCTCTGGATTTTTAGATTGTTTTCCAGGTCCCTCTTGAGGTGATTTTCAGGTTTACTAGATGTTACTTTTATTGCCACCACTGTGTCGATTGAGCAGATCAAGAACCTTGGTCTTTAGCTCATGCAAATCTGTGGACGTTTACAATGTCTGATGTTCCCCAGCTCTTGAATACTAAGGCTGCCACTTCCACCAACAGTGACCTTGGCCAAATGGGATGCTTTCTTTAGGCCTCATCTTCTTCTAAGGAGGATGATGTCTATTCCAGATTTTCTTTTTTAATATTTATGCAAGCAAGTTCTCTGTATTGATTTTATTCCAGCTCAGAAATGAATCAGCTTTATCTGGTCTCTGGTGATTAATTCTCATTTTCTCCCCCAGTCTCATTTTGCCTAGGATTAAGAGCTGGCCTTAGAATAAGTAACGGGGGAATTCTTGTTAGTTGCCGCCAATGACCACTCTTCATGAGTGTTAGCCCCTAGGTTTCCATCTAGCTACTTATTTCTGCCTACTGACTGTATATAGTTACGGTGTTTATTTCTAGTTCCTTGCAGGACTTTTCCAGAACTAACGTAGGAAAACACCCATCCAATCTCTGCAGTTCTAATTGCGCATCCTAGGTCCATTCCCCTACGTTATATGCCACACTGCTACCCAGATTGTAACTCCAAGCCTAAATCTGATGGGAGCCACTGCTGCTCAGGCCAGCCCAACCTGAGATTTAGAATAATGTTAACAAAACCAGCTAAGAAATCAATATTTCATTTTTTCCTTTAACCTATCTTGATTTAACATCTATGCAAGGTTCCTGTTACACAACTCCAGAAGGCTCTATTTATAAAGGCAACTGCATAAACAGGGGACCCTGGGATCTGTGCAGCCTTGCAGTCCTGTTCCACCGTGCAAGATATGAGGGATACAATTTGAATAAGACAAGAACAGTCTCTCCTCACATGGGGGAGCACTAGGTGCTTTGCAAAGTCCTTCTCGATCTCTTCTAAGGGCCTGCTAGGGGTGGCGTGGTAGGACTCCGTGTACTACCCCCTCAGCTGCTCTAGTATCTACTATTTCCCTCCTTTCCAGCTTTGGCTCACTCAGATGATAACTTTGGTTGCTGTTGACTGTAATGGAGCCACTAAGATAACTAATGCTTGTAAAAGACTGCACAGGCTTTTTTGCCCAAAGATGTGTTTTTAGGTGTTACTAATTCTCACTCAGCAATGCACAGTCTTGAGGATTTCTGTAACTTCAAAGGCTACTAGCACATTTTTTTGCTGTAGCTTTTTGAGGTCTTACCACCTCACATCATTGCAATCCATTTCCTCTAGGACTCCGACAAGTATCAGTGGAAACTGAACTAGAAGATAAAGTTGGGAATACTGCTTTGTGATCTCATCTCCCCTGCTAGAATGTCTTAGCAGTAATTTCACTACCAGAATAAGCTTCCTGCTCTTCAGGGACCATAATTGATCCCTGCAGAAGCCTCCCAGCCTTACCTCCTGCAGTTTCCCCAAACCATTTTAGTTTTCTTTCTTCTTCTTTTATTATTGTTATTTTTTTTTGAGATAAGATCTCACTCTGTTGCCCAGGCTGGAGTACAGTGGCACGATTATGGCTTATGACAGCCTTGACCTCTTGGAGTGAAGTGATCCTCCCACTTCAGCTTCCTGAATAGCTGGGATTACAGGCACACACCACATGCTCAGCTAATTTTCTGTATTTTTTGTAGAGATGGGGTTTCGCCATTTACCCAGGCTGGTCTCGAACTCCTGGGCTCAAGTGATCCACTCACCTCAGCCTCCCGAAGTGCTGGGATTACAGATGTGAGCCCCTGCTTGCTGCCATTTTCGTTTTCAAAATGCACTGACTTGTTCACACAAAGTCCATCTTGCCTTTCTTTGCAAATGTTGTGTAGCCTGCCTGAAACATTCTTTTTCCCTCTTTCCCCAAATACACTGCAGCAACTCAGCATGTCATCTCCTCCAGGAAGCCTTCCTTATAACCTCCTCCTCTTCCTTCCCTGCTGAGCTGGATGCCCATCATCTGTGTTCTAGCCAAATTCCTTCTGCATCAGATTCTGACTACTGGCTTCCTGGTCTCCCATCTCCTATATACCAGTAGTTCTCAAACTTTTTGATCTAGAATCCCATCAACAAGAAAACTTGAACCTTGATCTCATATTCACATTTATTTATAAATTACATACAGGTGCTACTTTTCAAATATAGTATGTATATTATAGGCTGTACACAGTGACTCACACCTGTAACCCCAACA